AGAATAAGCAGTCATTTAGCAAAGAAGCAACACGCTCACATGGAAGAAGCTCACCAGCCTGTGCTATCATAAGGTGTCAACGGAATCAGGAACAGGCACCAGAAGACCCAACACAAAATAAGAAACCATATTGTTGAGAATGAGGGGGGTCGAAACAGACCCCACACCCATCTGTAGACAATAAGATACTCCCTCACAGAAGGCTTACAAGGAAGGGATTTGTCAGCCAGGGATTTATAGCACCAATGAAATACACAACATTCCTCTGGTACTTTTAGGCTTCCTCACCCCGCACTATCATGACCACAATCCTTCCTTTCAGTTCTAGCTAGAGCATGTGCACTAGTACAGAAAAGAGCTTATGACACACGGAATCCAGGTCAGATAAACCTCTCAGGGAAAGAAATGGGAGTAGCGATACCAAGAGGGTAGGAGGAAGGGGAGGGGTGGAGGGGAGGAAGGGGGAACCAATCACAATGATCAATGTATAATTCCCCCCCACCTCAAGGGGATGAACAACAGAAATGTGGGTGAAGGGAGACAGCTGTCGCTGTAAGATGTAAACAATGTTTGATATGATTGATGTATGGAATATTATAAGAGCTGTAAAAGCCCCCAATACAATGATTAAAAAAAAAAATAGATGCACACTATAATACCCTGGGATCTTATTCTCTGCACTTAGGGCATCGACACCTCTTTACCAGAACTCTGATTTTACTAACTGAATTGGTCCCATATCATTGCTTTCATGCAACTCCGTCGGCCACTGCCATAATTAATTTCATGCCAAGCCTCCACCGGGTGAAACTGCAAGCTCTATCTGTATGGTGTACAATTCCTTTGGTGGCATGCTGCCTTGTGTTGTGGTTTCCAGAGATGGATCACAGTGAAAAACGGGCAGCAGTCAGGCTAGTTCAGCATGGACTCCAACTTACTCCAGCAGAACCGGCCACCAGAGAAGGAGACAAGCTCGTGAATGATGATCACTTGCTTTCCTCTCCCCAGGAGCCTTGGCGTCGTGGCTGTGCATTGGGCTCCTCACCGCAAAGTCAGTCGTTTGAAACCACCAGCCGCTCGACTGGAGAAAGACAAGGTTTTCTACTCCATACTTCTCAGTCTGGGAAACCCTCAGGGGCAGTTCCACTCTGTCCTGTACGGTCTCTATGAGTCAGAGTGAACTGGATGGCTGTCAGCTTGGTTTTTATTTAGTTTGTCCGTTTCCTCTCCACTGCAAACAGCCTCTTGTTGTTGTTGGGTGTCACCAAGTCGGTTCTGACTGACAGTGACCCTTCGTACAACAGAATACACCACCATCCAGTTCTGCACCGTCTTTGCTCTTGGTCTTAGGTTCAAGCTCTTTGTTGCAGCCACAGTGTCAATCCATCTTGTCAATGCCCTTCCTCTTGTTTCACTGCCCCTCACTTGACCAAGTGGGATGTCCTTCTCCAGGGACTGGTCTTTCCTGACAACATGTCCAAAGTATGTAAGACGAGTTCTTGCCATCCTTGCCTCTTCTTCCAAGACAGGTTTGTTTGTTCTTTTAGCAGTCCATGGTCCTTTCAATATTCGCCAGCGCATCATTCAGATGCACCCAGTCTTCTGTACTCGATGTGCACCGTTCACATGCATATGAGGCAAGTGAATAAATCATGACTTGGGTCAGGTATACCTTAGTCCTCAAAGTAACATCCTTGCTTTTCAACACTTTAGAGAGGTCTTACGTGGCAGATTTAACTAAGGCAATGTGTCCTAGGAGCCTTACATCTGCCTGTTCCAAGGCTCTTTGAAACTCATATTTACCACTATGGAGAGACAGGCAAACTATGTAAGATCTGACTCTCAAGGTAACAACCTGACTCATCTGGAAAAGTAAGTATCCATCTAATGCTCACAATTTTTCTGTTTTGACTCACTGTTTATATTCCCCATAGCTCAGCTTCCCTATGTTTAAAATGGAGCTGCTTAACTACCGTACCTGCTCAATGAAATGATTGTGTGTCTGTATTCTGTGAGAGAAGGCATGGTACAGAAACACCTGTTACCTTTCAAACATGTACACTGATTGGAGCTATCTGTGCTCCGGCAAACTAGTGTTGCCAAGGCTGTTAGTCCTCGTGTCTCAGTCCTTGTGCGGCCGCTCTCTTGTGGGAGGAATGTCCCTGCTGCATACACAGACCACAGATGGACGAACGTCTTCAGCCTACCAGAAAGTATGCAACCAACTAACCAACAGTGGTCGAGGAAATTCTTACTCACAGCAGGGGGGTCAGAGTAGAACTATGCTCCATCGGGCTTCCCTAGGCTGATTTTTCAGAAGGAGATCAGCAGGCCCCTCTTCAGAGGCCCCTCTGAGTGGACTCAAGCCCCCAATCATTCAGTTTTCAATCAAATGTGTTAACTATTGCACCACTCAGGTACTCCAAAAAGGATATTGCTGTAAGGTGCCACTGAATCGGTTCTGGGAACCCGTATCAATCCTATGCACAACAGAATGAAACATGGCTCAGTCCTGCCCATCCTCACAATGACTCTTATATATGAGCCCATTGCTGCAGCCGTTGGATCAAGTCCTCTCATTGAGAGCCTTCTTTTTTGCTGTCCCTCTACTTCGCTAGGTAGGATGTCCTTCTAGGGCCGCTGTTCTCAACCTGGGGGTCTAACGACCCTTTCACGAGGGTTGCCTAAGACCATCGGGAAACATATTTCCAATGGTCTTAGGAACCGAGACACCGCACCCCTATCGGTCTCCAGGCAGGTCTGCCCACATGCAGATATGCCCACATATGAGTACCCGACGTGAAGACCATTACCCATGCTACACCATGCTTCAGCCAAAGTTTCATTTATTTGTCATTAGAAATAAATATTTCACAATATATGATTACTGTTTGTTTTTGTGATTCATCACTATGCTTTAATTATGTTCCATTTGTAACAATGAAAATACATCCTGCATATTAGATATTTACACTACAATTCATAACAGTCGCAAAATGACAGTTATGAAGTAGCAATGAAAATAATTTTATGGTTAGGGGTCACCACAACATGATGGACTGTATTAAAGGGTTACGGCATTAGGAAGGTTGAGCACCACTGTTCTAGGGACTGGTCTCTCCTGACAGCATGTTCCCAAATACGTGCAATCAAGTCTCACATTCCTTGCCTCAAAGGAGTGTCCTGGCTGTACTGCTTCCAAGATAGATCTGTTTGTTCTTTTGGCAGTCCACGGTACTTTCAATACTGTAGTTCAAATGCAAACAGTGTACAAGCAGGGAAAGCTCAGCTCAACAGGGCTGCAGCTCCAGGAGGATGGACAGGTGGACAACCACGTTCATTCACAGTCTGTTCGGGGGATAGATTCATTTTCAAACAAATATGAACCATGCCATCATGTCCATTCTGATTCATAGTGACCCTATAAACACTGTAGAGCGGCTCCCTGTGGTTTCTAAGATGATAAATCTTTACAGGAGCAGAAAAGTTCACCTTTCTCTGGAGGGGAGGCTGACGTGTGGGTTTGAACTACTGACCTCACTGTTAGCAGGCCAGAGTGTTGTAACCAACTATACCACCAGGGCTTATGTCCTTCTATGTTATTAGCCCACTTCTTCCAGTACTGATGCAGACAGCGCCTCATCTCCATGGGAAATAACCAGGACAACACTCTGAATCACCTGCTTAATTAATTTGCATAAGACATCTATCCACACAGAAATCAAACTGTAAAACTTAATCTCTCACAGAGTAAGGACTTTTTGTTTAACACCAAAACTGATTAAAACCACACCAGCCTTTGGAGGAGAAGGGGGACTGCATAATCAACCCATAGGGGAAAAAGGACATTTCTCTCTCATCCTCACAAAGACTGATAAAAGTACAAAAACTAAACTAAACTCATTGCTGTAAAGTCCACGCTGACTCAGAGACCCTATAGGGCAGGGTAGACCTGTCCTGTGAGTAGCTGAGACTATACGTGCATACAGGAGTAGAAAGCCCCGTCTTTCTCCTGAGGAGCAGCTGGTAGTTTCAAACTGCTGACCTTGCAGTCAGCAACCCAAAATGTAACCACTATGCCTCCAGGGCTCCTTCTGTGATGGGAGAGAAGAAAACTAGAGTAACCTAATTGCTGCAAACAGTGAAGGCCCTCGGGTGCTAACCCCAAAGCTGGAAGCTCAAGTCCACTTGGAGTCATGGGGCATCGAAAACCTTATGACATAGGGAAGCTGAAGTTTCCCTGACGGCAACGACTTTACCAAGATTTCTTGGTTCCTAAAGGGTATGTATGACTGGGAGCCAGTGGTCCAAGTGTGTAAATAAGCAAAACATGGACCCAAACTCTGGCCAGGGGGTGGGGAGTTAAAGGGGTATGTGTCAAGAGAAATGGAAATTGGGTTTTCCATGATGGAGTCTCCAAGGGGATATACCTGCAAAAGAAAGAAACCAGGAACCTTGGAGAAGAGAAGGGGTCTAGCAGTGTGGTAGCAGTTGGACTTCCCATTGTCCTCCTCCAACTTCCAGGCAAACCTGCTGTGCAGGGTTGTGGCAGATACTCATGTGGAGAGTGAAGTAAAAGGAAGCAGGATCCTGGGAGCACAGTGGGCCAGAAGTTTGAAGCCACCAGCTGTTCCAAGGGAGAAAGATAGGCTTTCTACTCCTGTAAAGAGTTGTAATCTCAGAAACCCAAAGAGGTCATTCTACCCTGTCCTAGAGGGTCGCTAAGACTAGTCATCGACTCAATATCGAGTGAGTGAGTGAGTGAGTGAGTGAGTGAGTGAGTGAGTGTGCGTGTGAGCGAGTGAGCGAGCCAGTGGAGTCAGCAGTGACCAGTGACATTGATTATACCTGGGCTAAGTTACTGCCACTGGTGCTAGTAGCCCACCTGGCCACAATACCAATTGGTATGGCAACCTTGGTCATCTACACCCAGTCTAGTTGCACATGTATTGACTGGAAAACAAGAATGGACTACATTCCCGCAGGTAAACTCCACATACCTGTAACCCACCAGATTAAACTGGTACCAGGAAACCACGAACAACCTGAAAGCATCAATCCGCTCGCCCAGCTCAGCAAAACTGCGCCTCTGTCCAAGACAAGAAAAAAAAGAAGCCATGCTGTCAAGTATCCGAAGTATGAACACGTGATGATCTTAAAGACAGAACCTGATCTCCTGCTTCTGAGAGTTAACATGCGCGTGAAATAACAGCGAAGATAATGAGCGTCGCCTGGAGCCAGCACTCGGAGACAAAGACTGGTCAGAGGATGATCATATCTGGAGTCTTTCAGGCCACGGCAAACACGGTCATTGCGTTTTCTCAGACACGTTGGCCACTTGGCACTTTAAATGGCTGCCACAGACAACAGGGGCATGTTTCTATCAAGCAGTCTCATTTCCTTTTCTTCCCCTATCTCAATATTGCTTTCACCCCATTGTCGCCTTCCTGGGGCTCATGGCAGTCGTTCACAGTTGTGTGCTTTTATTTTAAAAAGCCCTGAACGATTTTATTCTTTTAATTTGCCAAAGGGGGTGGGGCATGAATTTAAACTGTAAAGGAAATTCTCCAGCAGCATTAATAGCTACAACACCCTGGATTACATAACTACAATAAGAAATGTTTAGGTTAACATCCACAATACAACATCCTGAGGGAAAGACGAGAAGGAACCTTTGTGAGGTCATATGCAGCCAGCAGGCTTTGGGTTGGGGCCACTGTTCTGTGGCCTCTTATCTCCCGGGCTTAAGGATTGTGGTGGGTTCCTAGAAAACTGAATGTGAGATGGGATTGTGCAGGACAGTTCTGGTCTTCTTCTATTCAATTTCCAATTCAGCAGCACATATTTCTGAGAGCCCACTCTGCCCACGGGGAGCTGGCACGCAGTAGTTCAGTGGGGGCTTGGTAGTTGAACTCTTGTCTCCCTTATGGACCTTCTTTCCAGCCAGTGCACCTCATGCACAGTCACCACTTGCTTTTCTGGACACTACACAGGGGAATGCGTATTCCTGAGACACTGAGCTTCCAGACTGAGCCAGACTAGCATGAAAAGTATGGTGATCTATAGTTGAAGATTAGCCAATGAAAACCCAATGAATCCCAATGGTCCAATCTGCAACTAATGGCCGGGGTGGCATGAGACTGGACAGTATTTCATTCTGGTGTGTTCTGAGTCATCATGAATCAAGGGATGAGGACACCTAGGAGGACACTGAAAGCCACCCAGGGTTGAGGACACCTAAGTGAGCAGAGATTCCTTTCCCAGATAGAGAGTGTGGGAGAGAGACTAACAATAAATGTAACTGATACTCAGAAGTAAAGCAGCAGGGATCAGAAGGTGGAGGTGCTACAGAAGAGAAGACCACTCCACCAAGACTGAGATGGGAGGCTCGTGAATGCGTGACACAGACGCAGTGTGTCCCCTCCCTCACCCTGCCAGTGGCTGTGGTCAGCATACTCCATTGGTCAGTGCCCTCTGGGCCTCTCCCTCCCTTCTTTGTACCACGGAAACGTCCCAGTGATCACTTATCTTCCACTAAGTGGAATCTAGGGAATTTAAGAAGGCAATTCTTAGTACGAGGTGGTGAGCAAGGATGGTCTAATGCAGTTTTTATCAATGAAGGTTCTGAGAAACACTACTTTTTCAGAGGTCAGTACCCATCCACTGCCTTCGAATTGATTCAGACTCATTACGGTGGTTTTGAACTGCTGGTCTTTCAGTTAACAGTCCAACGCCTAACACACAGGACTACTAGGGGTCCTTAAGACGTTCACAGGTGTTTTCAAAAAGAATTCTCATGCAGCCAGAAGAGCTGGGTGGTGTCTGGCTATCACTACTGAACATTCTATTGAAGACTTTTGACCAAAAGGAGGGAAAAGATGGACAGAATTTCAGATTCTCATGCAATCTAGACTTTCTGGAACCAGGGAATAAACTCCCCAAACTACTGCCCCTGAAGTCTTCTAAGCCCACCCAGAAATTTAGCTAAACTAGTAAAGAATGTCTCTTTTAAGAGCTAGCTATAGAGGATCAAATTAACAACAGGAACCCAAAAGATTAGGTAGGGAATTTAAGGAGCAGTGCATTTATGTTAACAGGGAGGGGCCATTTGGGGGCGTGGGTGAGGACGGCTGCACAGCTAGTCGGATATAATCACTACCACCGACGGTCTGTGGAGAAAGGGTTCAAACCGTGCATTTCTGCAGTGCATATTCTCAACAGTGGTGACAAAAATAAATTATAAGGAAAAAATACTCAAAAGAGTTTTGGAGATTTCCAAGCGGCTCTACTACATTACATAAAGGAGAAATTAATAAAGCATAGCCCCCTCCCTGCTTATTAAAGTCCAAACTACACGATTCATTTTAACTCAGTTCTTTCTGGATTAGACTGTTCGTTTTAACCACCTGTCTCCCTCAGAATCCATGTCTGTGAACCCTGATGAGCCTGTATCTGGGGATGTTCCTTGCTAGAAACCATAAATCTGAGAAGGCAATTTCCCTTTCTGGTTAAGTGGGGGTGTGAAGGAAATACACTCTGAAGGAAACCCTGACATCGCTGTCTTTTCTGTGATGTGGGCCAGAAGCACACTTCTCGATGATGAGAGCGTGATCAGGGAATTGCTTGAAAGGGTCCGGAAGCTGGTCTCATCTGACTTTCCCAAACGACTTACCAAGCTTTGATTACCAGCCACTTCCAGGAAATAAGACCCTGGTACCAAGACGAAGCTTCACGGCTCCTGAGGTATCTGGCCAAAGCTGGGTGACCTTCCGCTCCCAACATTTTGGGATCCCACCTGGAAACTGTACTATGAGCGAGGACGACTGAAACTCGTTCCCAAAATCGTGACAAGAACTCTTTAGAGCCAAGCACCCAACACAAGGCGTCCCCCCACATGCAACCCATCCTACTTGTGATCTCAACCCCAAATCAACCAAACATTGTAATAAAGTCACTGGTTTTCACTTGTGTAAACTGGTGCCTTCCTACATCCAGTGTAACATGTGTGTAGATATTTCCCCCGCATGTTGTTGTTGTTCAATGTCGTCTAGTCAATCCCCACTCATAGGGACCAATGCCCAGAGGAGGAAATGCTGCCCAGTCCAGCACCGTCCTCACAGCGCCTCCTATGCTGGGTTCCAGTGGTGCAGCCACTCTTTCCTGAACACATTCTCTGCAAGGAAAAATGTACACATCGATTCCTCTACAGTTGTGAGGGAAGTGAGAGGCCCTATTTCCCTATTTGAACTCTCGAAAGCTCACTGCCACTGAGTCCTTCCCACCTCACAGCAACCGATAAGAGAGAGTAGACCTGCCACTTTGGGTTTCCAAGACTTGAAAGACAGCCTCATCTTTCTTGCAAGGAGCGACTGGTGGGATTATACTGCTGACCCTGTGGTTAGCAGCTGGGGTGAAGTACAATTCCTGTGACTCTTCTATCTGTGTCTTTGTAATGCCCACAAAATGGGCGGGACCATGCAAACAGGATGTGAGAAGCACAAGTAGAGGGGATAGGTTAGTTTGGTTCGGTTGAGTTGTCAAGCCCCTGTGTATGAGAGAGCCATCGCAGAAGCATGCAGAGAGATAATTCCAGGACCACGAAGGAAGATGAGCCACCAGCAGAGCACATTTACCAGCCTGGCCTAACGTGGCAGAGACTCGGACCAGAGGCACCAGAGGCCAGGGCACGGAAACCATGGGACAGAGCAAAGGAGCCACATGGAAGCCGAGTAGAGGGGCTGGCCCCCGAGACCTGAGACTGTGAGGCAGTGAGGTGGAGGGGCTGGTGGGCCTTCTGGTCCAAGGAGGCAGAGGCCAAGGGACCATATGGCTGAGAGGCTACTGCCTGAGGCAAAGTGTTGCTGTGGACCTTAATGGTTTATGATCCTGATGTGTGGTAACCTGTTGACTTCCCTATAGGCCTTCATAATTGAAAGTTTGCTCTTTGAGTTCTGTGTGGCAAGTGCACGTGATTGCAGAAGCGTGCAGAGTGGTCGAACACCACGGGAGGAACCGCTGATGTCAGAATAGGCTAAGGGCTGATGGAGGGTGGGGGTGGGGGTCTAATCGACCTCTGCTTTGTGGCAGTCAGCCTTGGGCAGCAGTTTACTGCGTACCCACTACACCACCAGGCCTCCCGCCTATCTGATCTTGAAGGCTTCATACTTATCCTATTTCAAGATGCTAACACAATTTCGCATAACACAATTTGGGGAATGCTAGGCATTTGATTGTGTGGATCATAACACACTATGGATAGCCTTAAGAAGAATGGGAATTCCAGAACACCTCACTGTGCTCCTGTGGAACTTGTACATGGATCTAGACACTGCTGTGTGAACAGAACCAGGGGAATCCTGAATGATCTAAAGTCAAGAAAGGTGTGCGTCAGGGTTGTATCCTCTCTCCACACTTTGAAGACTTAAGTGTACCCGATCCAATGGTATTTTCAATTGCCTCATATCATGTAAAGTTATTCCATATCATGGAATAAGGAAAACCAAAAAAAGAATCAACACTTTTGAATTATGGTGCTGGCGAAGAATATTGAAAGTACTATGGGCTGCCAAAAGGCCAAACAGATCTGTCTTGGAAGAAGTACAACCAGAGTGCTCTTAGAGGTAAGAATGGTGAGACTTTGTCTCACATACTTTGGACATGTTGTCAGGAAAGACAAGTCCCTGGACAAGGACATCACATATGGTGATGTAGAGGGACACCAAAAAAAGAGGAAGACCCTGACAAGATGGATTGACACAGTGGCTGCAACAAAGGGTTAAACTATAACCGCAGTTGTGAGAATGGTGCACATTGGGACAACGTTTCATGTTGTTGTCCACGGGGTCCTTCTGAGTCAGAACCAACTCACTAGTGTCTAACAACAGTCCAGCATCATCTTCTCTATCGTTGGTATGCTAAAACCCATGGTTGAAGCCATTGTGCATTTTGAGTGCTTTCCAAACAAGGAAAAGAGCACTGGCACAACACTGGGTTAAACTCTGGGCTGCCAACCACAAGGTGGGCAGTTCAAACTCACCATAAGCCACTGCATGGCAGAAAGACAAAGCTGTTAGTTCCCCTAAAGATTTCAACTTAGAAACCCTAGGGAGTCAATCTACTCTAGGAGGGGGTACCCAAACAAACCCTGATGTTCAAGTAGGTGCATAAGCAAATGTGGTGAAGAAAGCTGATGGTGCCCGGCTATCAAAATAGATATAGTATGGGGTCTTAAAGGCCTGAAGATAAACAAGTGGCCATCTAGCTGAGAAGCAACAAAGCCCACATGGAAGAAGCACACCAGCCTCTGTGATCATGAGCTGTTGATGGGATCAGGTATCAGGCATCAAAGAACAGAAAAATCATATCATTGTGAATCAGGGGGAGTGTGGAGTGGGAACCCAAAGCCCATCTGTAGGCAACTGGACATCCCCTTGCAGAAGGGTCTCAGGGAGGAGACGAGCCAGTCAGGGTGCAGTATCGCACCAATGAAACATACAACTTTCCTCTAGCTCTTTAGTGCTTCATGAGGGGGGAGGAAGGTAGGAGGAAGGTGAAAAAACGAGGAGCTGATACCAAAGGCTGATACCAACGGCTCAAGGTAACTTTGAATCAGAATCAATTCAACAGCAGTGAGCTTTTGGATTCCCACCTATGAAGAGGCCCTGGTGGGACAGAATTTAAGGGCTTAGCTGCAACTAACCAAAAAGTTAGCTATTCAAGTCCGCCAGCTGCTCAGTGGGAGACAGATGTTTCCATCTGTTTCCATAAACATGTGTGGCCTTGCCAAGCCTAAGAACAGTTCTGTGTTGTCCTATAAGGTTGCTGTGAGTCAGAATGGACTAGATAGCAGTGGGTTCATTTGGGGGGTTCAAACCTAGGAGGTTCATATTCCAGCACTGTATTAGATGATAGTCTGCTGTGATCCCCGGGGCTTCAGTGGCTAATTTTCAGAAGTAAACATTTTGCCAGACCTCTCTTCTTACTCCATCTTAGTCTACAAGGTCCCCTTAAACCTGTGGATCATGAATAACTGAAATACAGTCAATTACCAGGGCCCTTCTAGCCACATTCCCTTTTATGATGCATTGTTACTTCTAGCCACCCTGCCATGGTTATAAACCCATTTAGGAGGGGGCTCTCTTGTTACAGAATTAAGGTGAGATACATTTCTGAGTCTCCACCTTAGTAGAAGGTGTGACTGAAGTCACCAATTTTGTTTCCTTGGGGATATGGTTGCTGAGAGGAAGAAACCATCCCTTCATCAGTCACTCTTCTCTGTGCCTAAGCCATCTCAGAAGCAAGAACATAGAGAAAAATCCCAGGACCACTGGAGGAAGAGGCACCAGGGGGCCTTGTTCAAGATCTCTGCCTGAAGTGGTGGAAACAGACCAGAGACAGCGGAAGCTGTGGCACAGAGGCCAGCGGGCAGAGCAGAAGAGCCAGGCTGAGACCAGAGGTCGAGACCAGGAGACCATGAGCTAGAAGAGGAGCACCGAGACTCTGAGACTGTGAGGCAGGGCAGTGAGCTGGCTTCCTGGCCCAGGGAGGCAGCTTCCAAGGGTCCAAGTGACTGAGAGGCTGAGGACTGGAGAGAGATCCGTCTACTCACTGAGGAGAGGTGCTACTGTGGACTAATGACTGCATCTTTACTGTTTACTGATCCTGACTTTTGGCAACCTGTTAACTTCCTTAAGAAACACCCCCCCATGATGTGATTCGCCTGTGAGTTCTGGCAATTCAAGTGATCGAATGCAGCAGAAGAACAGCGTGTGGCGGGAGGAGGTTGTGTTGTCGAGAGAGGAGTTCAGATATGGCCGCCGTGCCTTTGTAGCAGTGACCCTGGGGTATTTGAGGCACTGGTATGAGAGCTTACGGTGTGGAAAATGAAATACCTGGCTACCGCAGATCAAGCTGCCCAACGAAGGTATCCATTCCTCTGCACATCATTGCTGTGGTCTTGACTGCTCCCAACACCACACTCACCCAAACGGGTTAGGATCCGGCCCCGGATGTGGATGTCCACTCACTGCCCATCTGGAAACGAGAGAGACCTCTCCAAATATCCAATGAGTGAGGAACAGGAGGCTGCCCCAGGCAGCTCCTGTCAGCGGCCAGTCAGCGCTGGAGACCAGCCCTTTGGCTGCCTCGCCGTTCTCCTTGCCCCCAGGTTTCCTGCAGTCACCATCTGGAATTGAAAAATGGAAAAAGGTCAGGGACGTGGAAGTCTAACCCTCTGGGTTTCTGTGACCAACCTTGCACCAACTGAGAAGTGGTTCCTGGTCTCGGAAGCTCAGCTGAGCAGAGGATAGGAAGCACACGTGCTGAAAAATATTTGGTGGGAGAGCCTGTCTTAGGCAGGCTCCATCAGGACACTTTAGGGAGAAGAAGCCACTTGGGAATTTGGCAAATGGAAACATGAAAGTTATTGACTTGATGTAAAGTTAGCCATCTGAGCAAAAATCTCTTCCAGAAAAGTACATGGCTCATTCAGGAAACAAACGTGGTTCCACTTGAATGGGACATTTCCAGTACACGAGGCTGCTCTCTGTGCCCCCAACTAACAGGGCTCTCATCTGTGCCTGGAGTCATGATGCAGCATTGGATGGCAACCCAACCTAAAGAAAACCAAGCTGCTCACAACTGGACCAATAGGTAACATCATGATAAGCAGAGAAAAGGCAGAAGTTGTCCGGGATTCACTCTTACTTGGATCCACACCCTGATGTTCTGATCCATATCTAGCAGTACCTGTGAAATCTGCTGCCCGAGTTTCCAACCCCCAGACATGAGTGGTTTATAAAGCATACAACATGAATTTGGGGACTAGATCAAGTTCTGAATGTTTTAACTGATACTGCCATGAATGTTACCTGGCCCATTTACCTGCATGGTCTCCCTCTAGTTTCACTACCAATTTCATTCCAACATTGACCAGAAGAGGGTTCTAGAAAGTCTTTGTTCAAGGGCAGCCAATGCCCCCTAGAGCCCCACTAATGTGTGCGACTTCTTTGGGCACTGAGAAAGGAACAGGAGCTCACTAGGCCGGGGAACAAGGGAATCAGTACCCGATAACACCTCTCCCTTGTTTCCAGAAAGGGCTCAGGTTAGCCTAGAAAGCAAAAGGCACAGCTGGGTATGTGTAAGTCCCAGAGAACTGATGCCAGGGATTTGAAAGCAGGGATATGAGTGGACATGTTCTCTATTTGAGTTTCAGATGTGGAGCTTACGTATCTTTGAACTTCGGGGTGGGGGCAGGAAGCAGGTAGTTCTACCGCCCTGGCTCACAGGTAATTTCCCGGAGTGTTGGAAATATACTGGGCAGGGTGTGCAAGGGGGAGATGTTGGGGGAGAATGCCATCCCAGAAGACTCCATCCAGAGCAAAGAAGAGGATGACGGAGCTGAAGTGCACCTGCTGGGTCTTCTCTCTCACTGCCACCGCGTGCAAGCCAAAGAGGAGTCTTCTTTTTTCGTTGTTGCTATTTATTTATTTAAAAATTACTTTATTGGGGGCTCGTACAATTCTTATCACAATCCATACATCCATCCATTGTGTCAAGCACATATGTACATTTGTTGCCCTCATCATTCTCAAAACATTTGCCTTCCACTTTAGCCCCTAATATCAGTTGCTCATTTTCCCCCTCCCTCCCCTCTCCCCCTTCCCCCATGAACCCTTCATAATTCATAACTTATTATAGTTATGTCGTAAGTTGAGGAGTCTTCTGCCTTCACCTTCTGTCTGTCTAGGGACTTCCCTCGGGGGTACAAACCAAAAGACTGCTGGTTGGAAGCCACCCGTGGCACTGCGGAAGAAAGACCTGGCGATCTCTGACAGCTGTTGAGAACCCGATGGCATGCAGTCCTACTCTGACACACACAGGCTCACCCTGAGCTGGAGTCAACTCCACAGTGACAACGGGCTTGGTCTGTCCCAGAAAGGTAAAGGCGCCTACTGCTTGGCTAATGGCTCCCCAGGCAAGGCACTAGGAAGTGGAAACAAGGTGCCATGCATAAAACAATTGGATTTCCTTTTCAAGAGGGTTACCTCTCCTCAGAGACAAATCCCTAAAGCAAGTGGGCATGCACTTGCCTGTGTAAATCCGATCCAGCATGGCAATGGCGCTTACTGTCAGGATCACCCTGTTGGGCAGCGGATGGCTCCAGACTGGGTTTAGAGACGTGTACCACGTGCGGAGAACCAGGAGAAGCATCTGCCCCAGGATGAATCCCCAGATTCGGAAATGCCTGTAAGAGTAAACACATTTTTCAGGACTCTTCACGTGCAGGGATGGCCAGAGCTCATCTCAGTACTTAGGACACGTTATCAGGAAAGTATTCTTGGGAATATGCAGTGGTATACACGGCAGAGCCTTTATGTAGCTCACTGTGTTGGTGGCTAGCTATAATTCTTTAATTTTCAAAATTTTCTTGAGGTTGACAGCCATTGTTCACATCCCGATTCTGTGGAAAGGAAAAGGGAAACTTCTTCAAGGCCATCAACCCCTTCATCCAAACCCATTGCCGTGGGGTGAGTCTGACTCACAGTGACCCTAGAGGACAGGGTAGAACTGCCCCTCAGGGCTGACAAGGCGACCCTCTACAGAAGCAGACCACCACATCTTGCTCCCAAAGAGCAGCTGGTGGCTTCAAACCGCTGACCTTCCATGTGGAAGCTGAGTGCGTGACCACCAGGCCACCAGAAGTCCTTCGAAAGGCCATACGGAAGGTAAGGGAGCCTGGTGGCACAGTGGGCTACACATTGGGCTGCTAACCTCAAGGTTGGCTGTTCAAATCCACCAGTCTCTCTCCAGGAGAAAGATGAAGCTTTCTACTCCTGTAAAGAGTTCCAGTCTCGGAAACTCACAGGGGCAGTTCTACCTTGTCCTATAGGGTCGCGATGAGTCAGAATCAACTCAAGGGCAGGGAGTGATTGAGTGAGCAAGTGAGTGAGCGAGTGATGGAAGGCAAATAATGTAACCCAGAACTGTAATCTGGGCCTCCTGATATCCACGCTTCCCTTTGGTAAATGGCCAGACTTGTCTGTCTATAAGAGCAGAAGACACAAACCATACCTTTGCAGCCCACTTCCCGAGCACCAAGTTACCGCCTGCAGGATCAGCGAGGAAGCCACGCCCAGGGCGAGGACCGCCAGCCGCAGCTGGGCATTTGGAGCCTGGAAGGAGGCTAAGCTGCCTGCAGACAGATAAGGGAAGAATGAAGCCTCTCTGACATCACTCAATGCTCTGTGCCTGGGCAGCACCGCCAGGACCACCTTCAAACTTGGAAAAGTAGAAGAGGTGTGTGTACAGCAGTGCATACGAGAGTCCTGTGCCATTCTCATAATCTGGGTAAATGGACCACAAACAGGTGGTGGTTTGCATCTAGCTTCTTTCACTTAGTGCTTTTTTCCCAGGTTTATCCTGGTGTCGTGTTGTAGTCTATATCAGTACTTCATTCCTTTTTATGGCTGAATATTTTCCACAGCCTGGTGGCACTGTACGTTAGACAGAAGACCGCTAACCTGCTGCCCAGGTACAGAACAGCTGCTTCTCAGGAGAAAGATGAGGCTGTCCAAGATTCGGTCTCAGAAACCCTACATAGGGTTAATATGAGTCGGAATCTACTTGGTAGTAGTCAGTTAGTTAGTTTAGTATCCGGCTCTGGTGGTGCTAGGGGTTAAGTATTGGGCTGTTACCCGCATGGTCTGTAATTCAAAATCACCAACCACTCAGGAAAAAAAAAATGAGGCTCTTGCTCCCTATAGATTACTGTCTCAGAAACCCAGGCAGAGTTCATTTGAGTGGGTTTGGTTATATATATTAGGGAAATCATCCCTTGGAATAAGAGTTGCATATATTTATTTATTGTGTTATTTGAGGAGCCCTTGTGGTGTAGTGGTAAAGCACTCAGTTACTAACCCAAAGATCAGCAGTTTGAAGCCACCAGCTGCTCTGTGGGAGAAAGGTGAGGCTGTCTACTCCCCTAAAGATGTACAGCCTTGGAACCCTTGGGAGCAGTTCCCTCTGTCCTGGAGGGTCACTATGTGTTGAAATTGGCTCGATTCATGGGATTTGGATTGGGTTAATTTGGTTTTGTTATTTTGACTGTTCTTATTGTTGTATTTGTTATCGATCATTTTTGTTTTCTCTATGCAGTATTAGTTAATTGAGGAACCCTGGTGGTGTGGCGCTTATGTGTTGAGTTGCTAAACTTAAGGTCAACAGTTTGATACCACCAGCTGCTCCTCGGGAGAAATATGGGGCTTCTAGAGTTAGTCTCAGAAACTCACTGGGGTGGTTCTGCCCTGTCTTATAGGGTTGCATGAGTCAGCATTGTCTGGATGGCATTGAATTTTTAAAAATTTCTATTAGTTAACCATCTTTTGGAATGGGTTTAGGGTTTTTTTTAATCAAAGTTTTAGAAAGATCACACAGTCAAGTTCTCTGACATGTTTTTCTTTTCAGGAGGTTTGAGACTTTTCTGCTCTCAGAGGAAAATTAGAATTCACTCTAGACCTTCCAATTTTTCTAACACGTTTCTAAATAGTAATGTGGGGGAGGACCATCTTTGTTTTTAAACAACTGCTATTCAAGCAGTTAGCTTTCAATGTACAGTTTGCACCCTTACCCTTCATTTTCACACTTACCAACGGTGAGGATCCGCAACAGATTTAGCATCCACTTCTTATTAGCCAATTGCCAGAAAGGAGTCACTGTTAGAAATATCGGCGAAAGATAGGCTAGGCTAAAGCCTTCAAGCCCCGTGAGTTCCAGTGTTTGCAGGGGAAAATAATAGATCATTGGAGCTAGGCCATGGTAGAGAGACCAAGAAACGTATCCTATAAAAAGATTTAAAACACGGAGAAATGTCACTTAGGCATTGTGCACCACACTTGGCTCCCACCGGCTACCCTCCCGCATGACTCTGGTCTGCACTAGGTTCCAGTAACATAAACTCTCTCCCTTCTCATCAGGCCCAGGTGGTTACAAGACCCCCAACATTCCTTGCTAATCCCTTTAGTCTTGTCCATATGCCCTTAGATACCCCAAACTCATTGTCATCGAGGCGTTCTGACTCACAGCCACCACATAGGACAGAGTAGAACTGCCCCTGTGAGTGCCTGAGACCGTAAACCTTTGCAGGAGAAAGCCTGGCCTTTCTCCCACAGAGCAACTGGTGCCTTTGAACTGCTGTTAACAGGCCAAGGCATAATCCACTCCACGACCAGGGCTCCTTATCTCCTCAGCTAGTCCCTTTGTTTGTCCCATCGGTGGTGAATTTCATTTCTTGACAGATTGGTAACATTTCCTTACATATTTTGAGCCCCTTTTAATCTGAAATATAAAAACCAAAAAGACCGACAAAAGACTCCCACCTCAGAGTAGCATCAAAAGCATGTTGGTTAAGACAACCATCTTCAATCTATCAAAAAGCCAGCCCTGAAAGAGCCCTGGTGTATTTCAAGTTGGACTGGCGATACCACCAGCCGGCTCCATGGGACTGTCTACTCCCCTATGATTTACAGTCTCAGAAAATGGAGGGAGCAGTTCTACTGCATCCTACAGGCTCACTACAAATTGAAATTGACTCAGTGGCAATGGGCTAAGTTCTTAGGAACCAGGGTGATGTGGGAAAATAAATACACAAATTTGAGGTTAGTTCTATATCTCTCAAAAATCTTGTGCAAGAATGATAATATGCATGGGCCTTCCAATGTGTTAAAACAATTTAGCACAACCTCAGGCCCCATCAGATTGATATTATTTTTACTCCTCTTTTACAAATGCACCATGGAGCCCCGGTGATGTAGTCATTACGTGTTGGACCACGATCTGCATGGTCAGCAGTTCAAAACCACTAGCAACTCCCCAGGAGAAAGACTGGGCTTTCTACTCCCATAAGGAGTTACAGTCTCTGAAACCCATGGGGGTCACTATGAGTCAGCATTGACTCCTTGGCAGTGAGTGAGTCATAAATGAAACACACACACATACATATAAAGACACTTTTAAACAAGAAGCAAACCCTGAGACCCAGAAAATAAGATTATATATCCAGGATGATACAAGTAGCAAATAGCAAAGTGAATGTAAATCCGGGTAACCTGGCTCCAAAAATATCCTAATACTCGTGTAACCACCATGTCCAGTAAGTTTCTCCCGAGTTACTTTCCCCAACCTCCCTTTCGTGATCAGCAACATGAAGATATTTAAGGCCTCGGATGCTGTGCCCCGTATATGTCAGAGTAGAACAGTGCTCTGTGGGGTTTTCAATGGCTAAAAGATCAAGCAGATCACCAGGCCTTTCCTCCCAGGCACCTCTGGGCAGACTCAACCTTCCTGGCTGTGGGTTAGCAGTTGAACAAGCACATGACTGCACTGCCCAGGGGGTCCAATGAGTTGCTAGTAGGATGAAAAGAAATCAAGTGCACAGATTACTTAGATCCCTGGAGACTTACTGATTATTACTCACATTAATTACATCTCCCTACTTAGGGAGCCCTGCTGGTGTCGGGTTAGGCTTTGGGGCTTCTATCTGAAAGTTCAGCAGTTTAAAACCATCAGCCAAGGAGGGAGAGAGACTAGTAGTTGCCATAGTTACTGTCTTGCCTCACAAATCCACAGGGGCAGTCTACCCTATCCTACAGGGTTGCATGAGTCAGAATCAACTGGTTGGCAGTGAGTGAGTGAATGAGGAATGAGTAAGGGAGTGATTCACCTACGTAAGACTACATAGACAAAAGTTCCACTCAAAAGATGCAGCCCTGGTCAGCGAGCCGAAAGGCTGTAGTTTCCGATGCACACAGCAGTCCCGCAGGAAAAAGACATAGCAATCGCCTTCAATCCAGAAAGGGACCCGCCCAGAAAGCCCCACAGGGAAGTTCTACTTTGTCACAGGTGTCACTGTGACTCAGAGAACACCCAAGGGCATCAATACAGTAGTGCTCTCATGAGGTCAACAGGAATTGGAAAGCAGCATTTCTTTTTTAATGGAGGCACTGACTAAGCCAAAAAAAAAAAAAGAACCACCAAAGACCTTGAATTCAGCTCCCACTGAATAAGAAATTCTCAGGAAGGCGCCTGCGCCCAGGCCAGAGGTTTCCCACCTGGTTTCCCACCGAACTGTGGCATGTCAGCCCTCTAGCAAGAGTGCTTGTCTGGTAACTGATTTCAATCTTACAGACCTTACACAATTACACGAATCATTGTCCACGGGATTTTTGCAAAGCTACTAAGCATACGGGACTCCAGTCCAAGGCTTCTCACCACAGGCCTGTGTGCAGCCAAGCCCCTGGGCTCTCCGGCCTCACCAAGGTCCAGGCCAGCAATGACTGCCTGGTGCTCACCCCGCGGGAAACGGGACCCCTTTCCTTCGGGAGGCTACTGTTCGGTACTGAATTTTTTAAAGTTAAACTCAAAGCTTCTAGGCGACACGTATTGAGAATCGCGCCCCTCTGGGGCAAGGCCAGGTCTCCGCGGGCGCTCGGGCAGCAGCGTCTGGGGACGTCCAGCTTAGGCGCCTAAATCTAGGTCTTCTCTTTTGTCTCCCTGCAGCGACGATAGCATCTCGATTCCGGGCAGGGAGAGCGCTGTCCCCCTTCCGGAGCTCAGCGACCCGACGCCAGGACGCGGGGGGAGCGCGAACGCTCGGCTTACCCAGGAGGGTCTCCAGCAGCACTTCTTTCCAGAGGGAAGGCATCGTCGCCGCGGGCTCAGGAACGCAGCCGGAGTCGGCGCACCGCGCGCCGGGCACCCCTCGTGGGAACCTGCGCGCCAAGTCCCCACGCGCTCAGCCCGGTGGGCGTGGGTCTGGCGGCCGGTCCGCCCCTTCGCCGCCACGCCCCGTGCCGTGCGCCCTGGGCCGCCGGCCGCCTTCGCCCGGTCGCTGCGGCCCGAGCCCCTGCCGCGCCTTAGCGTGGGCTTCCCCCCAGACAAGGCGACGGTAGGGGACACGCGACCCGGCGCGGGGAACCCGGGGGACGCTCGAACTCCGCCGTGAAATGAGGTGACCCAGGCCAATCTCCCAGCGATCGCCTGTGGCCAGCCCAACGCAACGAGGGGGAGAACAAAGTCAACGTGGTCGCGGTGGGGCGCGGGTGCCCTGGTTTAAAGGAACCCCAAGGGAGTGCGTTGCGGGACAGAGGGGAGAGGGGAGGGCTGGAGACCGGCGACCGGAGAGGGCGGCCCGACCCAGGGCGAGGCCAGCAACGCCGACTCGGCTGGGCGCTTGGGGCGCGCCTACCCCGGCGGGTGCAGTGGCCGCAGCCCCGCGGTGCGCGGCAGGCCCGGCGAGGCTCCGGGAGCCCTCACCTGGCTGGAAAGGTGGGCCACCATGCTAGAGGGTGCAGGACGCCCTCGAGACGTGGCAACACGCCCGCCGGGGCGAGAGAAACGCCTGGCACGAACGCAAACCCTACTCCCCTGCTCCTACCCCCAGGAATCGGCGTTGGGTTGCTTGCTAACCTCTAGGTGGGCGAT